AACCCCCCCCCCCCCTGAAAAGTAGAGCCTACCTGTACAGGGTTCCACTCCAACAGCTGATATAGTGTGTCCATGCTTGACTGCTTCAAGGCTCAAGAGAGGGTCAATGGACCTAAAGAGCAAGAGGATAAGACTCTGCGCATAAAAGACACTAGCGGTCTGCACCTCTACCGTGTACGCCCTAGTCACTCTTTCAGTGGTAGCGGAGCAGTGATCCTGGAAGACCCAGGTGAGCTCCTTTCCTAGGCATAGAATTGCTTGTGGGCAAACGGCCATGGATTGGATTGACGACTGGGAAGAGCCTGATGCGGATGTGGCTTATGAGCCAGCAGCCTACGTGAATAGGCATGTGAGAAGAGAACCAGCAGCAATAGCAATGACAACACAGGTCACTACAAAGGTGCCCCCATCTTATGATGGAAAGACTTCATGGTTTTCCTATGAGGATGCCATAGACGATTGGTGTGATATCACCGAGCTGGAAGATGAGAAGAGAGGACCAGCTTTGAGAAACAGATTAGAAGGAGAAGCAGCAGTATACAAACGTGTATTAGACAGAGATTCATTGAAGGCTAATGAGCCACCAGGAGCAGGAGTAGATTACTTCAAACGAGTACTACGACCATATTTCGTGAAAGGATCAACCAATGTATTCCTATACAGGTTTATGCAATTCGTGCGATTCAATCGAGGATCAGCCGACATGATGAAATGGATGACAAGATTCCAGATTTTACTCCAAAGGCTTATGAGCAGTTGGATGGACATGTTAGAACCAGTCACTCAAGCACATCCACAAGTCCTTGCTCAGATGCAGGCAGATGCAGCGTTGACTGGAGTAGCACCAACGGCAGAAAGGATTCAGGAAATCATGCAGAATGTCAATGGCAATATGAGAATTCTTCATCAGAATGATTTTCCTTTAGGAGAGAATCTCATTGCCTTACTCATGCTGTCACTTGCAGATTTGTCTCAGGACCAGCGAAACACTTTGACTTCATTGATGACTCATCGTGGCAGGTCCCTGCAGCAATACACCACAACAGAGTTGAGGACAGTGTTCATCGAGATGTTCTGCACGACAAAGACTTCAGTAGACAATCCATTGATGCAGCCGACAGGTGCTGGAGGTAGAAGATCATTTCTCGTACTAGACGAAGGAGAACTCGATGGTACATTTGGCTATTGGGCCGAAGATGAAGAAGATGGAACTGAAGGATTTTTAGATGCCCTGGACGATGTCTTTTGGGTATATGATGATCAAAACTTCTCATGGTTCCAAAGGAGATTCCAAGGAAGAAGAGCCAGAAAAGGCAAAGGAAAAGGTAGAAGAAAAGGAAAAGGAAAAGGAAGATCAGGCCGCAGATTCTTCAGACCTCGTGGAAAAGGAAAAGGAAAGAGACGAGGTAAAGGCCATTTTGCTGATGAGCAACAGACAACTTTTCCAGATGAATACCTTGAAGAGAATCCTTATGAGGACACTTGGGAGTCAACCCAAGGAGCATATGATGCCATTCTTGCCGAGGATATGAATGACTATCTTCAAGGAGAATATGATGATGCCAATGACTTTTGGCAACAGCTTGAAGAAGCATGGTTTTCCCACAAAGGAAAAGGAAAAGGCAAGAGAAAAGGCAAGAAAGGAAAAGGAAAAGATAAAGGAGATGGCAAACAAGATGCAAACTATGCAAATCAACAACAGCCACGTTCTTTCCCTGCACCTTCAAGAACTTCACAAGCATCAGGAGGTCAACAAGTTTTCTTAGCACATTGTGTGACAGCAGCAGCTGAAGTCCATGGCAGTGAGGTGGACTTGCTGTCAGGCATGATGACCTCATGCCAAGATGAAGCTGACTGCATGGTCAACAATGGTGAGATGATCTTCGATGACATGAGTGCCACTGTGAGGTACTCTTTGTCAAAGGAGATGCTCACAAGGGCTCCTGATGGCCTTGCGCTTATGAGCGCTGATGGCTTTGCGCTTATGAGCGCTGATGGTTTTGCGCTTATGAGCGCTGAGGAAGAAGTGAAGGAGATGCAGGCTATTTCATTTTTGACTGAGAATCGCTTCCCGCCAACTATTGCAATCCTGGACTTTGGATGCACTAGAGCTATGGGATCAAGGCGAGCAGTCGACCATTTTTGCAACTATGTCGACAATCACCCAGACTGTGGATTATGGTACTCTTTTGAGGCTACCAAGAGCAAGTTTTACTTTGCCAATTCCCAGAAGGCTACTTGCTCTCAGAAACTGGTGATTTACATGTATGATCGTGCATGGACGATCCACCATACAGAGTTCGACATAGTGGAAGAAGGAGAAGTCCCTTTGCTTATGAGCTTGCCACAGATGAGGAACTTAGGCTTTGAACTCAGGCTGACACCTCGACATGCTTATCTGACATCGGTGCCTCTTGGTATCAAATTTTTGGAGTTGAAGGTTGCAGCCAGTACTCATCTTGTGTTGGACTTCCAAGATATTGCATGGTATCTGTCTGACGTGCGTTGGCAGACTCAGCGTGAGAAGAGTTTTTACTCTCACCTCACTCACTATGAATATGGCCACATTTCTGTTGAACACAATAGTGATGAAGGTGAAGCTGAGCATGCATATCCTGTGGTTGATTTCTGGGAAGTAGATGTTCACAAGAGAGAACTGATACGTCACCACAAGGATTACAGGAAAATTCTTTTCCCAGCAACTAAGTCCTGTCCTGTAGACACTGACTTGCTGGAAGACTTGCGACTGACAATCATCAAGAAGAAGAAAGGAGGAGAAGAAATCAAGAAGACAGATGATTGGCGCAAGGCAAAATGGAAGGACCTACAACTTGGCTATGAATGGCGTGGTAGAACAATTTTTAAATTTAAGCCAGATGCCAAAATTCCAGATCTAAAAATCAGGAAGGCTGGCATTGAGCACCGTGGCATTGGTGATCCCGATGCAGTGGTGCGCTCCTCTTCAGAGAAGGTTCCCATTGCAAAGGACAGGGAACCAGGCTTCTCGTCAGAGAAGGAAGGTGCACCATCCAGTGCCGCGGAAAAGCCCGTGCCGCCGAAGTTTCGGTATACTTCCAAGGGTTTTGATCCATTTTGGAAAGGACACAAGTCGAAACCATCTGAGCCTCAGAATGATTTAAAGGGTGATGATCTTGAGGAGTATGCTCCCTCAGAACCACCTGAGAGGCCAGAAGGTGAACTTGTAGAAATTCCTAAAGCATCAAAAGGACCATCAAGTGATAAACATGAACCACTTGAACCAGGTGATGGCGCTCTTGAGCCTAGGCGGATTTCAATCCCATTACCTGGTAGTGAAGTTGTTGCAATGACACCGGCATATAGGAAGATGTTACAGAGACTGGAGGACAAGGTAGAGCTTTATAAGCTTCATGTGAAGCACTACCATATGAGTCCTACTCAGTTTCGTAGACGTGTTTCTATGTTGAAGCTTCCTGACTCTGTTTTAGAGAAGTATGAATCAGTTGTCAGGAACTGCCGTGTTTGTAACACTTCAGTGGCACCTCCGCCACGAGCCAGAGTCTCCGGTATTAGAGCTTCATGTTTTGGTGATGTTGTTTTTGCTGATCATTGTGAGGTTGAACTTCACAAGAACAAGTATATCATTTTACTTGTTCTTGATGGTGCCACAAATCTTCTCTGGGCTACGGCACAGAAAGACCTCATAGATCAAACCACCATCCAAGCATTGAGGCAATGGTCGGACGAGAACAATTGTGTTCCGAAGGCCATCGTAGGAGACGAAGCCTTTTTCACAGATGCTTTTGTTGAATACTACAGGTTCCATGGTATACAACAATGTCCTTGTGGGCCAAGAACTCCTTGGCCGAACCGAGCAGAGACAGCTGTACGTTTGTTCAAACGTATGTGGCATGTTATGAAGGTAGATCTGGATGACCCACGTTTTCGTGGTGTTACGGTCAGAGAAGTGGTCAAGAAGGTAGTTTGGGCAAGAAATTGTCAGTTGACTATCAGTGGATATTCACCAATAGAGATAGCAACTGGAAGACGTCCACCAGATCTTTTTGACCTTGAGACCGCAAGCCCTGAGCAATTGTCAGCTAGTGCAGCCGCACAAGATCGTACAAATTTGGAACTACAACGTGTGGCTTTGAGAGCTCATCAAGAAGCACGACAAGCTCAGGACCTTCGAGCAGATCTTGCGAGAAGGACTATGCCAAGTGACGGTCCTTATTTCCAAGGAGAGAAGGTTTTTGTTTGGACTCAGGATTCATCAAAGTTCAAGGATAAAGGACGTTGGGTTCGTGCCACAATACTTGGACAAGAAGGAGCTATGGTCCAAGCCAATACTGGTAAGGCAGTAGTACGCGTGAATCAGTCGAAGGTTAGACGTGATCACGATGAGTGGCATGATGTTTCCATTCCGGCATTAGACGATGAGAATCCGGAGAACTTGCGTGAAGATCACGAACTGTATGTTGATGCCGAATTCGGAGAACAGTCCTTTTTCTTTTGTAATGATGATCATCCTGATGTTGTTGAGTTACTTCATGGAAACAGTGGATTATCTTGGTTCCTTTCAAAGAATGGTGTTAAAGTTGCATCTCCTATGGATTTCAAGGCAGGATACAACTTTTCCACTATGAAGGGTCAAGATGTTATTTGGCAGCAACTGGAGAGATTGCAGCCCCACTGTATAGTGATCAACAACCCTTCTCCCAAACAGAACAGAGCTTCTATTTGGTTGCTATGTTGTAATGTGATTGAGTGGCAATTGAGAAGA